ATATATATATATATATCCCATTTACTTCAAGAACAAATATAAATAAATACTAAAAACATGTAAGTATTTAGGTATATACACAAGTATGTATACACAAGTATGTATAGTAAAAGAAAAACATGTGGAAGAAATCCTTATGGAAAAAAAGAGTGTGATTAAGATTAAGAGAGCTTTCACTTTTTAAAATCTATATATTTCTGTACTGTTTCAAATTTTTCATTAAAAAATATTTATGTATTGCTTGTGTTATTATTAGGCTGAAGATCTGGGAAACACTGACTTCATCGTCCATCGTCCACTTAATCCACCAATTCATCTGACTGTTATTAAATACCTGCTATGTGTCTAACACTTGAAACAGGTAAAATGATAAATAATTCTTAAATTACAGGGTACAGGACCCTGAGTCTACTAGTCTACCAGATATTTTTGTCAGTAAAAGTCTGTGAGATTGCTCTAGAAATTCTTCTCTGTAACAACAAATTTGGAATTGTGTACTGAAAATTCATTAGCTTTCTTAGAAGGTTGTATTACGGGTGAACTGGAAATTTCTCCTTATTCATCCAACAGGGATACTTTGAAAGGCTCCATTCAGCTTGGTTTGTTATTAATATCGGAAAGACTGTTTCAAACCATTTCAGCCACATATAATTTGCACATGAAGAAATCAGTAAATAAATATATGGAAAAATGGTCAATTCTACTAGTAAGCAAAAAACGCAAAATAAAATAACTCATTAGCTTAGCAGACTTTTAATAATATCTAAAATGACTAGTGCTGTGGAGAATACCTAGAAATTAGTTCCTGCATACATTGTNAAAAAAAAAAATCCCCAAACTAGTCTTCCTGTGGAGCTGTGTCCCCCATCTTTACTATGTGTGGGTTAGCCTAACATCTCATTTCTATCTTGTATTTATAATTTATATTCCTACCTGTTTCCCAGAAAAGGAGCTGAAGTAACATAATAAGATATGTATATATAACATTATATATATCATATATAAAATAAGGTTATATAATAAGATATATATTCCAGCTACCACCCCCCCAATAAAAACTAAAGTGATTATCTAAAAACTAAAGCAATAATGTTAAAACTTCACTGTGTATATATTATGCTAGACACTTGATAAACATCTTGTAATTCCTGTTGAACACTTTTGTTCATAAGAGGTTTTTCACTATAGACCAATTGAATAAAATCAGAATCAGATGTTTTACAGGAATGACTGAAGTTTTAATGCATCACTGTAGCCACGCCCATGAACTTTTTCCTGGTAAGAGAGAGCAAGAGGAATCTTCACAAGGCTCCTAGAAATATTTCTTTTCAGCAAAATTTTTTCGAAATCTGAAAAAGCCCTAAATCAATGGTATAATCCTAATTCAGGGTTTGAAAATGAGTATAACAGGCCAAGTGAAATCACCAGGCCACATGTGGGAATGTCCGAATAAAAACAGCCTGCAGGTGAGTTATCTGATGGTAAAGGATGTTTCTTAACTCCTTCAGGTCCTCCTCTGGGATACCAGAGAAGACAGAAGATGCTGGGTCGCTACTTCTTGCTTCTCCTCTTGTCCTTGGCTTTACCTTTACCTTTTGAATCCTTGCTGTCATCTACGTCCTTCTTAGGCATTCTGAAGCGTCCAATTTCCTTCCGTACCACAGTGCCTCGCCACCATGCCTGGAGCTGGAAGGGAAAGGAGGGGTGAGTACAATTTATAGTATGCCTGACAAGCTGCATTCTTCCTGCATAAGGGGACTGTTTTTTGACAAAGTAGCCTCTGTCTGAAGAATGGTCTTTGAGACATGGAAGTGACCAAGCACGCTATCTCTATTGATAGCTCCCTTGAGTATCTTGGTCACTGGACATAACTGTTCTGAATACAGTCTGGGCTACTTTAAAATCAGGCTAAGCCCTAAAGACTAGGGGAGCAAACCTAGTGAAAAGAAAACAAAAGTGGTCTTCAGCTAGTTCTTACATTTTTGCTTTCAATTGAGGACTCCTGACAAAAGAAAACACCATAGGAGCTCGATAAATACTTGTTAATTGTACATCTGACTCCCAATGGAAAACTCAAGTTTGGATTTGGATACCTGGTCCTGAATGTACTTTAAAGCATACTTTCTTAACCCACCCCCTAAGTCACATCCCCAACTACAGTTTGCATACTCGGCAGATACTCCTCTTTCAGAGACAAGGGCACTCCTCAGAACAACAGTTTCAGTCCAGCTAATGTTACTACTTTAAACTATTTCCCAGAATCTGACCTGCTAGTTTCATCATCACTAACACAATTTCATATAAAACTAAAATATCTCTATTTTTTTTTCTAAACTACTTATCCCCTCCCTCCACCTTTTTTGAAAACAGCTCTTATCAGAACCTAGCAGATAGCCTGGGCTAACATAAATAGGGTTTTAAGAAGCAAAGGTATATTAGAACTCCTTCAAGAGCTGTTTTGGTTAGAAATAGTATTCTTAAATTTGACCACTGGGCACAAGTTCTTGGTTTTGCTTCTGCTAACCACCTCTTTTCCCCTGGATTAAGAGTTGAGGTCATGTCTTTTTCTGTTAGCTGTCTCCCTGCCCCATGGACTGTGTTAAATTCCAGTAACAAAGGCCATGCCTCCTCACAGATCTCCTGTGTTTGATAATAAATGAGAGACACTTTCCATTACTGTGTTAGGCCAGCTATAAAATTGAAGGGGCCCCAAGAAGCTTCCTACCTTTAGGACACTCTTCAATTCCAAGATATCCTGTTCTAGCTTTTTTCTGCTTTTCTCCTTTTCCATGCGGTCTTCAATGATGATTTGTTCACACTCCCTTAGCTGTAAAAGTGGAGACATTAATCATGTTATATGGCTAACTCTCTTGGCTAAGCTGTGGCCCAGCCAGCCCTGCAATTTTAATATAAAGTTTTAAATGAAGCATGCCAAATCTAAAGATAAACCAAAGAAAAGAAAAAACTTACTGGATTACTATATTGTAAATAGTCACATATTAACTTTGTAATTGTTCCCCAAAATTTTCAGTTTGAATAATTCAAATTTGCCTTAATCTTTCATAAAAATGAAATACTAACTTGATGTATGATTAATGACCTCAGAATTATGTAATTTTTTAAAGCTGTGTCTTTAAATATACACATGAAGATAGCCATCTTTTAAAAGAGAAATTTGGAACATTCTACAATTGATGAAACCATAATCAGAAGCATTTGGGAAATCATAATTTACTAATCGTCTTCGGAGACCATAAAGTGGAAATAATAACAGTATGTCTTTCAAGAGGTTGTGAGGGTTAAATAAGCTATATATGTGAAATACTAGTAAAGTGCCTGGGACAGAGCAAGTACTATTTAAGTGTTAGCTGCTACTATTGTCCCCATCATCAATGTCATCATTGTCACCTTAGTCATCATCATTGAAAAAGAATCTCATTGGTTTATGGGCTCACCTCCATTTTGTAACCAAAAATAACATTACCCAGCTACTGTAGCTTAGCTACCATCCACTCCTCAGTGCTCGGGCTTACACGATCGAGACTGCTTCCTTACCATCTTTGCGAGTTCTTGAAGGTGTGCTAAATCACTGGCCTTAGCAGATTTAAGAGCATTCAGTTCATTCTGTTTCATTTCTGTATCTTTATCATACTTCTCCATCCAGAACTCTAGTTTCTCCTCAAGTTTCTATTTGGAAAGAACATTAAAACATGGCTTGTGCCAGATACAAAACAGTATATACTGTATAAAATCATTTATATAAGGCTCAAGAACAATCAAGACTTCTATAGTGGTAGAAGTCAGAATTGTGTCTACTTCTGAAGGGAGGGTTGGTTTATTAACTGGGAATGGGGTTATGAAGGAGACTTCTAGGATGCTGTAAATGTGCTCTATATCTCTGGGTGGTTACAGGAGCATTCTCATATATACATAAAAATTTGCCAAACTGTATACTTAATATTTGTGTAATTTACTGTATGTTGCTCAATTTAAAAATGGGGAAAAGGGCCTTTCCAGGTGTCTGGATAAGAAAAGTTGCAGTGAAGAGGAAAGGAATAAAGGGTAGGTAAAAAATTCCAAATGATAAAGAATGGCATCAGACATCTCTTTGATTGGTAACACTAAATACTAGTTGAGAAGGGTGCAATGTCTTCAAAATTCTAAAAGATAATGTGAATCTAAGATTTTATACCTAGCCACCCTAGCATTCAAATGTGAGGGAAAAAAAGAATATACCTAGTTTTTCTGAAAGAGTTGTTCAAGAATGTATTTTAGCAAAATAAAATGAAAGATATGTATATAAGAAACAGGAGAGAAACCAGTAAAAATGTATATTTAACTTATATATTATACTTTTTAATCATAATCTGGAACTAAAATCCTAAATTAGGCAGTATACTCTAGTGGAAAGAGCACAAATAAAAAACCAGCATGATGGAAAAAGACAGACTTACTCAATAAAACCAAAAGATAGTTTTTGTGAAGACCAATAAAATGGTCAAATCTTTGGCAAGTCTCAGCTAGAAAAAGGGAAAGAAGACACAAATTTTAAAAAATGAAAAAATGATAAATACAGAAATAAAGGAAAATTTTACATTGTTAGAGACTGTAGAGCCCAGTTTTACACTAATAAATTTGAAATGAATGTTTAGATTAAATGGATTAAATGTTTAGATTAAATGTTTAGATTAAATGTGTCTAGGAAGACACAGTTACCAAAAATGACTCAAAAAGAGATTTTTTTAAGTGAAGACATCAATAATCATTAACAATATTGAAAAGGTAGCCAAATATCTCCCTTTTAAAATGATACCCAGACAAGATTGTTTATGACTGAATTTTAACAGATTCAAGGAAAAGAGACTCTACAATAATTTGTTCTATTTATACTTTCAGGTTTCAGAGCATAAAAATATAGAAAACTTCCCAATTCAAGCTGCCAAGCTAGCATAACTGATGGCAACACAACAAACACCAAAAAGTAAATCTATAGGTTAATCTCATTTATGGAATATCTAAATAAAAAATAAAAACCTACAAATCAAATCTATCAGTCTAATAAAAGAATAGTACATTATGACCAAGTAGGGTTTAGTCCAGGAATTTAAAGATGAGTCAACATCAACAAGTACATTAATGTATTTTACTTTATTAACATATTAAAGGAAAAAATATCTCAATTGATGAAAAGAACACTCATCCTGATTAAAAAGAAAAAAACCCCAGCAAGGTGAGACCAAAAGGAAATTTCCTTGAATTTCATTAACTTAATCTACCATTAACCTACAGAGCAAACCTCATACAATCCCCATTTTTGCCAGTGTTCAATTTATTGCCTCTCAGCTCCAAATTCATCCTTCACTGGCCAGCTTTGTGAAATTGGATGCTTGCTGTAAATATTACTCTTTTGGCAGCTGGCAGGCACAATGTTAACATTTGTCAGTAGAGGGTGCTGGAGGAATGTGACAGGAGAGCTTTTTTTCTTGTTTCCACAGTGCTTCCTCTATTGTTCCTGGGGCGTGGCTGACAATGGCATGTCTGTGGGACACTCCGGGCACTTGTTCACCAACAAGTTTTACTGACAAGGGGATTCTCACTTACCAAACGCTGTCCACAGCCCTGCTAGCCAGCTTTGTCTCACTAGCTGTGAAGCAGCTCTGACTCAGGACAACAAAGCAAAGAGCTCTGTTGAATCCTTCCTTAGATAGTATCCTTCGGCCCTAGGGTGTTCTTTAGAGTTCGCTTTTATCCCTTCTTTGTAGCCAATCCCTTATTACTAGTCAATGATTCTTTTGTTAAATCTTCCCTGCTCAAATTACTTGTCTGGTTTGCCACCTAACTGGACCATAATGATACTGAATTGGTACTAAAAATAGTTTATTTCCTACCTTCTAATTCACATGTCTTACTAAGGCATCTAAAATCCTTGCTACTTCCTGGTCATTAGATACAATCAACATAATGCAGTGGACTAATGCAACGTTCTGTGCAAAGTCAAAGCAAACAGTATCTCTGCAGACCATATTATAGCAGAGAAGAGAACTCACGTAACCCTAATGTGAAACTTTGAAGGTGTATTGTTGTGCTAGATCCTGAAATTGAACATCCCTTTTGAAGGCATCTGCCTCAAATGTAGTTATTATCACAGGATTTTCAGGGAAAGGAAGACTACTCTTAGACACAGGAGGTCAGGCTACATCCACTGGCAAGGCTACCTCAAAGTAACTTGAGGGTTCAAGATTGTCAATTATATTTGAGTTCAGCCTGATGTTCCCATTCCAAGTTTCAGGGTCCTATTCTTTCTCAATCAACGCCCTAACTTGCACATGACAAAACTGACATGATTATGAACTCATGTGTAATACTAACTGAAATACTATTAAAACCAAGAATAGAAAAATGGTACTCCATTATCACTACTATTAATATTACACTTGACATTCTATCTATAAAATAAGCCACAAAATGGAATGGCATAAATAATGAAAAGGAAAATATAAAATTGATACTATTTGCAGTCAATAAGATTTTCTACCTAGAAAACCCAAATGAATCAACTGAAAAACCATTAAAACTAATATGAGAGGACATAAGGAATCTAGACCAATATAAAAAATGAATAGCCTTTTCATAACCATGCACTTAGAGTCATGTCCAAGAATGTTTATCATTGTTTTAATAGCA